TATAGCCAAAAACTCTCCTAAATAGACATAAATGCCCTTAAAAAACCCACGTAAACTTAAAAAGAAAGCTCATGTACAAGTTAGTAGTTTGCTATTGGACCTTTCAGCAGTAGGGACCATGAATAAGGAGTTTTTATCAAAAATAGCCAAAATTTACCCCCCCAACTTTCAAAAATGTCAGTTTTTATAAAATCTTTCAAATATAGCAAAAAACTCACCTAAATAGACACAAATGCCCTTAAAAATTAAAACCCACATAAACCTAAAAGGCAAAACCCTACTACACAAAATTTGGATTCACACGCACGTCTGTATCCTTTGGTCGAACTACTGCTGAGCACGCACGTCTATAGCCTTGGTCTGAAACAATTCCAACACTTACTGATCTGTAATCCCTGTAATCCCAGGTTTTTTTTTTCTCTCTCTCCTTCCATCTTTGTTTTAATTCCATGGTTTTTTGTTGGCCACTTGAAATAGTTTATTCAACTTATTAATTTTGTTTGTTGGATTGCATTTGAAGATAAAGAACTTATTAATTGTATTTCTTTTTCGATTTGGATGAATAAAATATTTTCAATTTGGGTCTGCTTGGATCATTGTAAGTTGAATTAGGGAGTGTTGAGGCTATACGTTACTCTGAAGCTCCTTTATCATAATTTTACCTGAAACAAGTAATCCTTTAGTTTTACAATTTTTGTACGTTGAGTTCACCCACTTTCCATCGTAGTTAATCAAAATTGTCAAATTAGACATTATCCTGAAAGGTAAACCAACATAATAAATAATACAATACACATTGAGAAAACAATGTTCAAACTATATATATATATTGTCAAAATAACAAATATATATGATTTGTATATTTTGCTGTCATAATAGCAAATCAGTAATCATGTGCAATTTGGGTCTACCACAGGAGAAACACTCACAACACCCACAAAACACAAGAAACAGATTTATAGAGAGGAAATTTCCAATTATTTTTGCTAAGGGATGGATTTGCCTAGATCATTGTAAAGTACTTTCTACTATCTGGCCAATCCCAATGGGCAACACGTCTGTATAGCCTCAACACTCCCTAATTCAACTTACAATGATCCAAGCAGACCCAAATTGAAAATATTTTATTCATCCAAATCGAAAAAGAAATACAATTAATAAGTTTTTATCTTCAAATCCAATCCAACAAACAAAATTAATAAGTTGAATAAACTATTTCAAGTGGCCAACAAAAAATCATGGAATTAAAACAAAGATGGAAGGAGAGAGAGAAAGAAAAACAAACCTGGGATTACTGGGATTACAGATCAGTAAGTTGAATTAGGGAGTGTTGGAATTGCTTCAGACCAAGGCTATAGACGTGCGTGCTCAGCAGTAGTTCGACCAAAGGATACAGATATGCGTGTGAGTCCAAAATTGTGTAGTAGGGTTTTGCTTTTTAGGTTTATGTGAGTTTTTATTTTTAAGGGCATTTGTGTCTATTTAGGTGAGTTTTCGGCTATATCTGAAAGATTTTATAAAAACTGACATTGTTTAAAGTGGGGGGTAAATTTTGGCTATTTTTTTTATAAAAACTCCACCACGTGTGAGGACACCTTCCACAAGAGAGCTTCTCTGTACACGGAGTCCAGAGACTTAAACATAATCAACATTCAGCCCAAACCAGCTATTTATTTGGAAGAGCTCTTCAACTCCCAATTCCAAATTTCCAACCGAGCTCCAAGCCCCCAGCCAGACAAATATGGCTTCCATGCCTTTCTCTGCAACTTTTTCAACCCCTCTACACGGTTATTCTCAAACAAAAACAACAAGAAGCTCAAATTCTTCAGCTTCATGCCCTTCCATGGCTTTCTGGACCCCCTCCGTCAAATCTTCACTTGGGTCATCTAAATCAGCAATTTTCCAGAACGGGTTCTCTTTGCAATCACTGAGTTTTAATGGGGTTTTCTTCAAAGCTCGGTCTTTGGGTGTTTATGCAAGAGCAGCTACAGAGAAAACTCTTTATGATTTCAGTGTCAAGGTATATCGTATATGTTCCTGAAAGAATTTACTTTTTTCTCCTTTTCTTTAATAGGCAGAATACCATTTGGATGTGACTGGGAAAAGAACCAAACTTGTAGCTCAATTTTTTCTGTGGATGACAAAAATTGGTATCAATTTGATATTTATGAAGTCAATAAGTTTTTTTTTTAATGTAGGATATTGACGGAAAGGATGTTCCTCTTAGCAAATTCAAGGGGAAGGTTCTTCTGATTGTGAACGTGGCTTCAAAATGGTATTGAGAAGTCCTTTGGATATTTGTCTCTGAGCTGAACTTTTGTAATATATTATGACAAATTGAATTTTACGAAAGGCCTCTGTGGAAGTTTGAGATTCTTGTGAATTAATAAAAAATATTTGTTTGTATATCAGTGGATTGACTTCTTCAAATTACTCAGAACTGTCACACTTGTATGAAAAGTACAAAACTCAAGGTATGTTCCATCTCGGGAAATTCCTATTGATTCTTTTCAATAATAGTTTTTTCTCCACAAAAATGGGCATTAGATTGAATTTATACATTTCTGAAATCCTTTGGATAGTCCTGCCAATTACATCCGTAAAGACAGTGCTTTTTTCTTGTTACACAAGTCACCTTTTTTTTGGTTGGTCAGGGTGAACATTAGAGTCAGGTGGTAATAGTTGCTGTGTATGTAGGATTTGAGATTCTAGCTTTCCCTTGCAATCAGTTTGGGGGCCAAGAGCCTGGATCAAACCCGGAAATCAAGCAGTTTGCTTGTACAAGGTTTAAAGCTGAATTCCCCATTTTTGACAAGGTGCGAGGTTCAGCTGCATGTCTTCCATCCATTACTTTATTTTTTCTTTTCATATATGTTTTTACGGAGATGGTTGTTTCAAGTACTAAAAGTGCATAACAGGTTGATGTCAACGGTCCCAGCACAGCTCCGGTTTACCAGTTTCTGAAATCAAGTGCAGGAGGTTTTCTAGGTGACCTTGTCAAGTGGAATTTTGAGAAGTTTTTGGTGGACAAAAATGGTAAAGTTGTTGAGAGATACCCACCAACAACATCACCTTTTCAAATTGAGGTATGCTTTTCCTTGTTTCATTCGGTTTTATAATTTGTAAATTCAATGATACCCTGGGTATTGATTGGATCAGCTATAAGTTAGTAAGGTGTGTGACAAGCCATCATAAAAGGAGAACCTTAGGGCCCGTTTGATAACCATTTCAATTTTAGTTTTTAGTTTTCATTTTTTGTGCTAGAGTATAGAGAAAAATAAGAGTGAGAATGGGAGCGAGGATGAGATTGAGAGAAAGGATGAGAGAGGAGGATGAGAGGTAGGAGTAACAAAAATGAAAACAAAATCTTGAAAGTGAAAACAATTTGAAATAGATTTCCGTTTTTAGTTTTTGTTTTCACTTTTGTTACTCCTCCCTCTCATCCTCTCCTCTAATCTTCCATCCCAATCCCATCTCCACTCTCATTCTCACTTCTATTCTCCCTCTTTTTGCTCTATACTCTAGCACAAAAAATGAAAACTAAAAACTAAAATTGAAATGGTTATCAAACGGGCCCTAAGGTTTCTAGAATCATGTTTGTAGATTTTGACAGCATATTTGAACCACACATATTTTTTATAAAGTTAGGGAACTTGATGATTTGATGGTCAAGTTAGACTAAAGTTAATGCTCTTATCTTTATGAAGTGAAATAGTTTTAAAGTCCCCTTTCCCAATAACTGCTCCATTTTTGTTTTGATAAGATATGAAGCCTATTCGAAGTTAAAGGCTAATAGTTTTATTTAACCACTGATGCTAATTGGAATGTTCCTATAAATCTCCTGAGATACTCTCTTGTAGTTGTTTCTTTGAGCCTGTTTGCAGAGTTTGCATTCTGTAACTTTTTAGTTTGCAGTCTGTGCTGCTGTTGCAGCTTTCTTTGGATTGAAAAAAAAATTCATTCATACCAAAACAAAGAGGTTAGTTTAGTAACATAGCTATAAAAGGCAACAAACAAAAAGATTGAATCAGCTCTGAAACTTAATATTAGCTATCGAAATGACGTGTGCATTTTCTGGTTTATGTGTCTCTGTGTTAAAATAGCATGGCAACTTGAGCATCATAATCTGAACTGAAAATATAAGAGTATTTCCTCTTTACCAGCTCCATCCTGTCATGTGAGTAACTGTCGAAGTAACTGTTCTCAGTCTCTCTGTTTTGCCGGTCTGATTCTTTGTCTATACAATTTTTTTCAGAAGGATATCCAGAAACTGGTGGCAGCATGAGGAGAAGAGCTGCACAACATGCACGGCGGCACCCATAAAGGGAGGATGGAGGAGCAAGAGCATACATGGAAATCCCTGTATATGGCGTTTAGTTAATAGCTTTTACACATGTCTTATCAGTACAGTTTTATTTTCTCTTTTTGGGGGGTAACGGACGCACTCCTTGTTGGTTTCAGTTGTTCTTTTCCATATATATATTTATCATAATTTGCAATGATACAAATCTAGTCATGTCTAGCAGCCATATTTTGTCAATTTGTCTCACCATTCAATTTCAGCGTATATTCTAATTGTCTAAAATGGTTTGAAATGCGATAAAATTCTAATTTTTAATCCGTCAACCTATTCTCTCACACCAAATTTTTAGCCCAAGTTTTTTGGTACAAGTTAAAACGATCCTTGCTTATGGTGCATTTGTTGCAAAATGTTCATTGATAGATGAACATATTGGCTTCTGTCTTGATACTAAGTTTGAAGTACTTAGCAGATGCTGTTGTCTTTGAGCTCTCTGTTTATTCATATGATACTGCCTCTGAAGATTTTAGCATTAAGTTGCATTTACTAACGAAGTCCGACTTGTATTCTTAAGACATATTATATTGAATTAATCCATCCAAGTTTCAACCCGGCGTTTTCTTTAATACTTCATGAACTGTCATCAATTACCAAACCATTAAAAATACACAACAGATGGAACTGAGCTGACCCTCCTAGACTTTTTCTTCTTTGAGCCTCCAAATCTTTTACCTCTACTTCCCCAGATCCATGCTCTCCATGGATCCCTCCCAAGAAACCCATATCATTGATCAAGCTACTTCAGACCAAAAAGATGATGATCATCGTCATCACCATTCAAACTCCACGAACCCATTTGCTCAAATGATCCAGCAACCCTTCCAATGGCTCCAAATGCTCTCTTCAGAACTCAACCCGACTTTTGTCTTGGGTGTGGTCATCGTCTATGGCCTCAGCCAAGGATTTTCAGGCTCTTATTTCAGAGTGGTCACAGACTTCTACTGGAAAGATGTCCAGAAAGTCCAACCCTCAGTTGTGCAGCTCTACATAGGCTTGTACTACATCCCATGGGTCATGAAGCCCATTTGGGGCTTATTGACTGACGTTTTTCCAGTTCAAGGCTATAGAAGACGACCCTATTTTGTGCTAGCAGGACTTACAGGGATCATTTCAGCTCTCATGGTTGCACTAAGTGACAGCTTGGCTGCTGCTGTGGCCTTGACTTGTTTGATTGGTGTCATGGCAAGTGTGGCGATTGCGGACGTGATCATTGATGCTTGTATTGCAAGGAATAGCATTGAGATCCGATCGTTGGCCTCGGATATGCAGAGCCTTTGTGGGTTCTGCTCCTCTGCCGGAGCTTTGGTTGGGTACTCTACAAGTGGGTTTTTTGTTCACCATCTTGGTGCTCAGGTACCCTCTGTTTTTTTTTTTCCAAACTGATATGGATTATAGTATTTATTTAGTGTTACAGATATATGTGCAGTATAGTTTATTATGCAAATTGACTGTATATCTTATATGGGTTCGTGCATATGGTTGGCATATTTTTATGTTATATTTATCTGGAACTTCCCAATAAAGATTCGTGCAATATTTTTCCCAGAAATTCTGGACTGATCTATGACATATAAACTAATTAAAAGGAACAGAATTGTGCTGTCTTATCTTCTCATGACCCCATTTGTTCAGTATTTTTATATATTGGGTTTTAATTTATTTTGGATTAAGGATTCTAAGAATTGAAAGCTGCACATTGTTGTTGTAGGGTGCATTGGGTCTTTTGGCAATCCCACCAGTCTTTCTGACTGTACTGGGCTTTGTTATATATGAAGAAGGATCAACCAGCCTTCGTTCTGAGAAAAAGAAGGTTAGAAAATTTACACATTTTTTTGTTACCATAAATTTTCCACATTTCTCTTTTATGCTTTATTTTATTATCTCTTTCAGCAAAACCAGTGGTCCTGGGATAAAACAAAACAAAATAAAAACTCATGCTGTCATTATCTATCTTTTTTTTTTGAGTGGTCACAGACTTCTACTGGAAAGATGTCCAGAAAGTCCAACCCTCAGTTGTGCAGCTCTACATAGGCTTGTACTACATCCCATGGGTCATGAAGCCCATTTGGGGCTTATTGACTGACGTTTTTCCAGTTCAAGGCTATAGAAGACGACCCTATTTTGTGCTAGCAGGACTTACAGGGATCATTTCAGCTCTCATGGTTGCACTAAGTGACAGCTTGGCTGCTGCTGTGGCCTTGACTTGTTTGATTGGTGTCATGGCAAGTGTGGCGATTGCGGACGTGATCATTGATGCTTGTATTGCAAGGAATAGCATTGAGATCCGATCGTTGGCCTCGGATATGCAGAGCCTTTGTGGGTTCTGCTCCTCTGCCGGAGCTTTGGTTGGGTACTCTACAAGTGGGTTTTTTGTTCACCATCTTGGTGCTCAGGTACCCTCTGTTTTTTTTTTCCAAACTGATATGGATTATAGTATTTATTTAGTGTTACAGATATATGTGCAGTATAGTTTATTATGCAAATTGACTGTATATCTTATATGGGTTCGTGCATATGGTTGGCATATTTTTATGTTATATTTATCTGGAACTTCCCAATAAAGATTCGTGCAATATTTTTCCCAGAAATTCTGGACTGATCTATGACATATAAACTAATTAAAAGGAACAGAATTGTGCTGTCTTATCTTCTCATGACCCCATTTGTTCAGTATTTTTATATATTGGGTTTTAATTTATTTTGGATTAAGGATTCTAAGAATTGAAAGCTGCACATTGTTGTTGTAGGGTGCATTGGGTCTTTTGGCAATCCCACCAGTCTTTCTGACTGTACTGGGCTTTGTTATATATGAAGAAGGATCAACCAGCCTTCGTTCTGAGAAAAAGAAGGTTAGAAAATTTACACATTTTTTTGTTACCATAAATTTTCCACATTTCTCTTTTATGCTTTATTTTATTATCTCTTTCAGCAAAACCAGTGGTCCTGGGATAAAACAAAACAAAATAAAAACTCATGCTGTCATTATCTATCTTTTTCTGTGACAAACTCCGCAAAGTTCTCACCTGATGGTTCATATATATATATAGTCACCATTAAATTAAGGTGACCTATTCTTCTCATGCGTTTAATAAAATATCATCTTTTCTATAATAAAAAAAAAAGTAACCTAGCTCTTTCCTTTTGATTTTCAAAATACAGTGGCGTGAGTTTAGCCCCTGTAGGACCCCTTTGATTCTCACCAACCAACCAGAGTTGGGTCAATTTATTTTAAGGGAAATATTTATCTGTATATATATGAAAACTCCCCAGTAATATTTCCACATACAATATCTATATTTGTTTAAATACAAATGTGTGCATGTCCAGGTAGTAGAGGAAGCAGGAGTGGCAATAAGGGGCATGTACAAAACAATAAAATGTCCTCAGGTGTGGAAGCCTTCCCTTTACATGTACCTATCTTTGACTCTAAGCATTAGCACTCATGAAGGCCAGTTTTATTGGTACACCGACCCTACAGCTGGTCCTGCTTTCTCTCAGGTCCCTCTCTAGCTTTCCCACTCTTTACATATTATTTGTTAAAGAACATGACACGTCAATAACAAAACGTATTGATACAAGGACAATATATTTTTCACATAGACTAATTGGCTTTATCAATGGGCAGGAGTTTGTTGGGATGATATATGCAGTTGGTGCAATGGCTTCAATAGTAGGGGTTCTGATCTACCACAAGACTCTAAAAGACTACCCCTTTAGAAACCTACTCTTCTTTGCTCAACTTCTCTACGCCATATCAGGCATGCTCGATCTCACATTCATCCTAAGGTGGAACTTAATTCTGGGCATTCCTGACTACTTCTTCGTCATCATGGAAGAATGCGTTTCTCGAATTGTTAGCAGAATTCGATGGATGCCCATGATCGTATTGAGCACAAGGCTTTGCCCTTTAGGCATTGAAGGCACATTTTTTGCGCTGTTGATGTGCATTGACAGCCTTGGCTCACTGTCCTCTAAATGGGGTGGAGGGGTGGTTCTTCATGCCTTGAATGTCACAAGGACAGATTTTACAAACTTATGGCTGGTCATTCTCATTAGGAATGTGTTGAGGTTTTCAACACTTGCTTTGATATTTTTGGTTCCCAAGGCTGATCAATTTGATGTGTTGATTCCTTCTGATCTTTTGACCAAAAACTCTGCTGTTACTGCTGTAGATGATGAGAGCTTGGAACTGGTTCCAATGAAGGAGAAAATTGAAGTTTAGGTGCTCATTTTTTTATAGGTTCAGATGTAAAGAATTAGCCTCATACATTGTGTTGTACAAAATCTTAAAGATGTTTACACAATAAACTTGCTTTAGGGAGAGCATGATATATCCACCAATTAACTCTTGATTTAGTGATATTTAAAAGAGGCGAACAGTTCAAATTCTCCCTCTTCTATAACAAAAATAAAAAGAGGCGCTCAAATATTGATTTAGTGATATTTAAAAAAGGTGCTCAGCTCTTGCAACAAGTTATTTTTAGAGTTCCTTTAACAACACGCATTGGTAAATACCAAACCGGTCCTTTGCTTGCCACCAGGGCTGTTGGGAAAGAATTGGACCGACCAATCCACAATCCCATTTCTCTAATCGAGTCATTCTATAGTGTGGTCTAATATATGACCATTAAGAGAGGTCATATCTCTTAATTGTTGGATCAAATTGGTTAACCCGATCCAACGATTAAGAAAGATAAGACCTCACCTAAGGACTATGTGTAAGGCCTCACTATAGAATTTCGCCACTATAGAATTCTTGTTTTCTGATTGACTTGCGTTTTTCGAACGAAAAAAAATTTGACTTGCGTTTACCTGTCCAGCCCAAAGTCTTTCTTCGTTTCATTTTTAATTGTTTGTGGTCGGCAAGCCCAAAGAAAGTGTTTCGCTTTTTCCTTCTTTTCCCCATTTTTCAGTTTCTACTGTAATGCGAGAGAAAGTATACAAATCTAACGGTCAATTCTCCATCTAAAGACTACAGAAACCAGATCTTAATTGTCTATTATGCCCTCAATTCTGACGAGGCTCTAACATAGTGGGCCACAGTGGCCCTGCTCAAGTCGTCTTCAACTCTCTCTCTCTCTTCTTCCCTCCCTCCGGTGGTAGCGTCGTTCCTACGAAGCCATAACATTATTGCGAGCTTCTGGTTCATCATTGTCAGCTCTCACATGGTAATCTAGTTTCTTTTCCTTTCATTGATTTATTTTCTATATGTAAAGATACGAATCTCACTTTTCTCTTTGTAATTCCTACTATTCTTTGCAAGCATGTAGTTTCGTTCCTAAATCAAAGCCTTCCTTTTTGCCAAATTAGGGTTTTTGTTCTTCGTCATATTCTATGTCTCTTGTCTTTCAGTGTCTCCCTAAACCACCAATATAATGCTCTCTCGCCTTCCTTTTAAATTGTGGGCTAAAGTTATATAAATCAAACTTTTCAGCCTGAACCAGAGAATCTAGAAGTCTCTGGATAATCTTAATTGAGGTTATCTTTCTACTGTGTTTGAGAATTTTGAAGTACCAGAGCCCGTTAGGTTTAAAAGTTTGTTTTTTTTCTTCTTCTTCTCTATTTCGATTTTTTACTTCGTTTACTAGGGAACCAAACAGACAGCTAGGGTTCTAATTTGTGGTTTTTTCAAAGGTATATTTTAGAATATGAATGTTGGAGACCATGAGAAGTAAATATGAATTTTGCTTTTGAATTTTATTGTCAAGCTTTACAATATAATAACTATATATATAATGCTTCGCTTTGATATTATTGGTGTGAACAGTTCATTTCGTGTTTCATTGTAAGTTACTCTCGCGAGAAACATGCCCGGCTTGTTGGAATGTTGACTACATTGTAATTTTATCATCATGTGTAGGCTAACAAGCACACGATCATTCTAATGCAAACTTCTCAGAACAAAGCAACTAGAACCTTTATGGACTATGATTCAATAAGTCAAGCAATGGATGGTATGTTTTATTTATGATGTTTGTCGTGGTTACAGTCTTTTTTTGGATAAGTAATCATACAAATCTTTTGGCTTTAGAGTGTATTTACCTAAAGGGAATATGAATGCTTCATCGTGCTATAAAATGAATTCTTACATAATAAAAAATTGCTTGTGAGCTGCTAATTTCTCAAAATAAACTGAAGAAAGGGCATAGGTGATTTTATCTAGTAACAGAAAATGATACATTTACTTTCACCTCATAGGTTGAATAACTAAATTTTTTCATGAAAACTGAAAGATTTGATAATTAATTGGTAGGGAGTATTTGGGATAATTGCTTGGCCATGTGAGAAATGTAGACCTGTACGGTGTAAAGAAATGAAAGATTAGGATGTCACTAGAGATATGAATGTCAACTTTTTCCTGACTCTCTATGGAAGATCCAGTGATTTGGAATAGAATTCACATAGGGGCACCTGAATAAATTTCCCTTCAGTGGTGTCTCTCCAGTTTGGTTGAGTGCTTTTGATCATGATTGATTGTGCAGCTGTCTAAGATAATTATTTTATTTAGTATTGGGATTTATAAGTTGCGAGAACATTACTATATTACATGTTTTATGATTAGTGTATTCGTGCTCAATGAAACATGATACCTTGTGTGACAAATAAAACTTCCACTTCATATGAGAGAGAAAACAGGTTTCTTCCCTATGTCCCCCCCCCCCCTCATTTTTTTTTCTGTAAACATATGTTTATCTATATGTTTCTTGTGGTTCACAGTTGGATACTTGTCATCTGTTTTGGGTGAAAAGGCGTTGGAGGGCTCCCAAGACATAATGTCGTTATAACCATCATCTTTTTGTTTACATTGACTAGAGGTTATGCTGTTGTGCATGTATAGGTATATGTGGACTGTATGAAAGGAAGCTGAGGGAGTTAAATCCAGCAATTAGAAATATCTCATACGATATTGGAGATCTCTACAACTTCATTGATGGCCTTGCTGACATGAGTGCTTTAGTGTATGCTCTCTCTCCTCTCTCTCTCTCTCTCTCTCACACACACACACACACACACACACACACAAAATTTAGGCACCAAAATATGTATAGCCTTCTCACTGAACAATTTTTGTAGATTTATGTCAATGATCTTCGAATTTTGAGTTAGAAATACCTACAGAAAAAAGGTGTAATACGTACCTAAAAGTTTAATCATTACAGAGTATATGTATATTTGGCTATGTTGTCGAATACAGTTGCATCAGGAAAGCACCTTTCCAGTTGAAAAGTTTAAAGTGTGGACTTTTTTTTTCGGGTCACCAGGCTACATAGCCGTACAGGAGTTACCATAGGCCAGCCGTTATACTTTACTTTATCTGTCCATCAAAGTCCCACCAGTTGGACAGCCTGTTTAATTTGAGATAGGAAAGTGATAAGAACTGAACATGATCCATTCTGAAATTGAGATTAATAAAATCTGGGTCCATCAAGTTTTGTTTGTGGTGGCTGTTGCCTTGGGAGGACACTAACACTTCGCTTTCTGGTTTTGGTTTGCAGTTATGATCACTCAATTCAAGCTTATCTGCCGTATGACCGACAATGGATTAAACAACGGACACTTCGACATCTGCAGAAACTGGCACATTGACTAAAGTGATGCTGCAGATTAGTTCTGTAGCAATCCGCAAAAAAAGAGAGGATTTGTAGACTTGAATCCATTATAAAGGGATTAGCAAATGGAGTGTATAATTTGTGACTCTGGGCTTTGCATCTGGTCTGTGTTTAGCATGGTGTTGTAACTTTTCTATTTGTGCGCATATCTTCAAAAGCAACTTTTGTTTCATAAGCTTGACGGTGGTGATATTAGGCTCTTGTACTATTTAAGAGGATATTTCTGAAATTAGGTTATGTCTAGTAAAAGAAAAAACAATGGTTCAAGCTGCATTTGCAACAAATTTCCACTTTTAGCAAAGGCTTTCACAGACCGATGCCAAAGCTGACCATAAGGCCAACGGCTAGCGACGGAAAAAAGCACTGAGAAATCCGAGTTACATATAATGGACCTAAATTTTGTCACTAAGGCCCCGTTTGGTTCACGGAATGGATTTGAGGGGAAATCAATTCCCATGTCATTTCCCAAGGAATGGGAATGAAAGATTCCTTTCCCGCGTTTGGTAATGTTGGGAAAGTAACCGGGAGATTTCACTTTGTTTCCTTTCCCATGTTTGTTTTGAGTATGAATGGAAAACTAAATTTGTATAATTTTTCAATTATACCCATATTAAATCAAATAAAAAAAAGAATGTATTTAATGATACGTTGTAATTATAAATTGTTCATAGGGACAAAATGGTCATGAAAATTGTGCATTGAATGTTGGCTCATTTTCTCAAACTTTTCCATGAAGAGGGAAAACAAAACTCAAGTTAAGAGGGGGGCTTCACTTTCCCCCCTATTTTCCCATGTGCCAGGAATCCGTTTCCCAAGCCTGGACTTCCCAAACATGGGAAAGCAATTGAATTCCCATTCTCAAGCCTCATTTCCCATGAACCAAACGGCCCCTAAAAGTCGAATAACCGTCTCGGACCGCAGTAAAAGGTGCAAAACCGTCATTTAAAACAGCACAGGCTACTTTTCTGCTGATTGAAGTGTTTCTCCTTCAGTTTTACAAGATTTCCCGGGCAGTTTAGTAAACCCCGAGAGAAGAATTTGCTTACCATTTGTCTAATTCACTTTCCACCATGAAAATGGAGGAGCACATTTCCATTTCATGAAATAACTTGTAAATCTAAATATCTTCTACAATAAACTCGACTGTTCAAACAAACTAGTGTTCTTAGAGATTTAATCAAAACCAGTGGTCTTAGAGGTCTAATCAACACTAGTAATAATTTACGTTGTGTTTTGTAGAACAACAATGTTTTATTAATTTTCGTTGTATGAAGGGTAAAACCGGTGTGGTTGGACCTGTGAATAGATTCATAAATTTAGTACTTAGTTCTCATTTTCATTTATTTATAATTCTCTCTTAATATATTATTGGTACCAAGCAAATTAGTTGCCTTTAGAGCAACTCCAATAAGAGGGGCTAGCCCGAACAAGAGGCCCCCTAGGCCCTTAATTCCGTTTTCAATGGCCAAGGCTTGATAGGGCAAGTGCTGGGCTCCACCAGCCCGGGCAAGGTCCAAGGCAAGACTTGCTTAGGTTGTTGCCTGGGCAAGATGACTTAATGTTGACGTCATTGTGACGTTAGTAACCAATTTAAATAACAAAAAATTGAATAAAAGAGGGAAAAAAAAATTCATATTTTTTATTATTATAAATACTGAGCCATATTTTTTTTTCACTTCCCATACCAAAAGTTTATACAAATTC